GCAACAGCTTACTTTGTCAGAAAACTTTCCACAAGTGCATTCATGGCATATGATAAAGTAGGCTGTCGCCTACAAAAGCATACAACTCTGAATCAGTCTCAAAGGTGCTTCCTTGCTCTGCCTTCTGGAACCTGTTTTTATGCCTGGTCACCCCTCACCCTTCCCTCCTCCCACCCACATCTATTAGGTATGAAATATTATCGAATGACAAATACATTTGATGGATTTTGACCAATTCTTAAGCCTAAAAATATCTGGTACATAGCAGTTTTGTGTGTGAAATTTCAGTTTGATGCAATTTGAAACTAAGGTTTAGCCTGGGGGGAAAATCAGGAGTTCTGATGGAAAAAACAATTCAGTTTGAACTCATTGCAGTGCTACAGGTACCATTATAATTGTTCAATTATTGTAAACTACATTATGTGGATCACGTGAAATTGCTGTATTGGGAAAAATGACTAGATCATAACTCTAATTGATGCTTATCTAATTTGTAGGCCATTAGGGTTTTGCAAGTTATTTTTCATGACCCCACCCCCCTTCCAAGAAAGCTTTTTACTAAAAGCAAAAACCTAATATACCAAAAACTTTTATTTTTCAGTAAAGGGGACTAAAGATAGGCTATCAGAATCAGTAAACATGTTGTTGTTTTTCCATTTAAAGTACTAAACATTAGATACTAACAAATAGGCAGACAAGGTTCTTTGGTAGACGTGATATCTTATATTGGACCCCCCCCCCCGGAAGACAGCGGACCAGCGCACACAAGCTAGTTGAGGAAAAGTTTCGGCTGGACATAAGGAAAAACTTCTTTTCTGTACAGGTAACTAGAAACACACTTCTAGCAGAGGTGGTGCAGTCCCCGTCTCTGGCAGTCTATAAGAGGAGGCCCAACAAATACCTTGTTGAACTCGTTTGAGCCCAATTACCTCCTGCCCTTAGGAAGGGACCAGACTTGATGATCGTATAGGTCCCTTCCAGTCCTTCTTTCTATGATTCTATGTGAGTTTTGTACAAGTTAATTACCAATTTCAATTATGATGATAAAGAGCGAGCAAGAGACTTTTGATTAAAGTTATTGATTTAAATCTTGTTTTGTATTTCTATTTTTTAACCTTCTAGAAAAATAAATAGTCTCATTGTTTTGTAACCATTATGATGCATTGATTTGCAACTTAATGTAGCCTTTGCACTAAATTTAGTACTACTTTTTTTCCTAATTGGGAAGGATACATGTTATACCTAAATAATCATAAACATGTTACAAGCTAAATAATTACGTAGCTTAATATACATTTACACTGGTTCTTAATCTGATGTTTCAATGTGATAGAAAATGGTGAACAACCCTTTTACTTACTAGATAACTTTTTTTTACTTATGGTTTTTCTGGTGTCAAACTACTTTTGAATGATAAGTGGGATTCAGTTAAAGTGCCAAAAAGCTGCATTTAGTTTTAGTTTTAAATGCAAAACATTTGAGAAACTTCTTCCTTTTGAATACAGCTCACTTTAAATCTAGTATCATTTAACTAACTAGTTTATTAAACACAGAATATATTATCTGTAGTTAATTTTAATTAAAAACATGAGAGAGAGAAGAATATGAGAAATGTCATACTGGGTCAGTGTTCTCTTTCCTCCCACCTACTCCAGTATCCTTTATCTCACAGTGGCAGATAGTGGATGCTAAGTGAAAGGTATGAATCTGTCTCCTACCCCTTCCCGTACAGATTCTGGTATTTAAAAGCCTAGGAAATCCTAATTTGGAGGTTGCTGACTTAACTGTCATGTATAATACCTACTGATGGATGTAATTTGCTGGAATTTGTACAGTCCTCTTTTGTACCTGGTTCAGTTATTAGCTGTCACATCTTGTGTCAGTGAGTGCCACACACTAATTCTAGCCTGTGTGAAAAAGACCTCCCTTTAATTTGTTTTAAACTTGCTACCTAATAATTTTATTGTGTGCTTCCTAGTGGTTATTTCTGATCACACCATCTTCTCAGATTTCCCCCTGGGACTTGGGTTTTGCACCTATCTTATGGTTTGGGTACATGGACAAGTGACTGACAGAAGTTAGGGTGCAAATGTACAGTGCATCGGCTGTTTTCAGTCCTTCTTTGCATTTAGCACTGGGAACAAGTGAAGCTGAACAAAGTGGGTTAAAAGCCTGCTCAAATTTACACAGTTGTATATGAAAAGAGAGGAAATCAGATCCCAGAGAACGCTATTAACTGGAAATGAACAATTAAAGCACCCTATCAGCCTTAACTCTGTTGGGTAGAAATAATGTAGGTATTGGATGAAGCTTGGATAGATAGAATAGTTTAAAATAAAAATGAAACTACTGTATCTTTAAAAATTTTAGCCTTATCTAATATGGGACCACAGACATTAAAATACAATCATATGCTTTATAGTGTCACATATGGTTAATATTAATATTGTCCAATAACTAGCTTACTCTTGCTTGATCTGCCCATTAGGTCTAAAAATCCACCATGTTGTTTACTGCTTCATCCTCAAGGGCTCTGAGAGTAATCCGTTAAGATTTCATTGTGCATGAGAATTGATTTGTAAGTTAAATGTAGGTTTGTGAGCTGAGTTTGTATTCAGTTTGGGTCCCCAAATTAATGTTGATAAACAAAAAGTGTTCGATAGAAAGTTTCATGTTTTGTTTAGGAGGCCAGCTGGCCTACGGGGTACTCTAAATTCAGTTTATAGCTGCAATCTGTAAGCATTTAAGATGGCAAAAATGATATACTTACTTTGTAGCTAGGTATACTCTATTTCTTGCATTCCTAACGCATTCATGATTGACAGAAAACTGTGAAGAGGAGATGGGCAATGAACATTGCATTAATTAACAGTATATTCATAATACTGTCTAAAGCTGAAAGTGAAGAGGGATATCTATGCATGCTGGTTAACTAAGTGCAGCTGTAGAATGAGATTGGAGCTATAATGTCGCATTAATGTTGTTTGTGTTTCCTAATGCTTTCCTGTACGTTTATATACCTGACTCCTGCTGAAGTCAGTGGGCAGCAGACAGTACATTTCAGTGCCACATTGAAGGCTCATTGTGTATTACTTTACAATGTTTTATTCTGTTGGGATACATTTTGTGCTAAATGAAGGTTAGAAGCGTGCAGAGTGATTTCACTAAAAGTTATTATAATGTATGGACACTTACACACATGCAGGGAGGCTGCTCATAGACTCGATTAATAGAATCGGCTGGAGCATGGAAATTACTGCGCTCCAGCAAACTCTGGTGTCATGTATATCCGTGTCCCTATGCTGAAAAATGGCATCAGGGTGCTTTAAGCTAAAGCTTGTTCGACAAGCTTTAATCCAAAGCACCCTGCTGCTGTTTTTCACTGTGGGGACCCTGATGCATGTGAAGCTCCAGGTGCTTTTAATTAGCTCAGTTCCAAGCTAATTAAAACGCCCCCTCCGCCTCCTGGAGCATGTCTATAAAGGCCCTATATTTCTGCCTAAATAGCTGGAAATGTGTAATATAATGCATATTTGCAATAGATCTGCTTGACTAGTTGATATTTTGTAAACAGTCTTTTACTACATATGCTAAGGTATTAGGAATGTGCTTTCCTGTTTCTATTCCTGAAGTTACCAGTCTGTTTTACTCCATCAGTAGTTAAAAAAGGATGTGGCAGGTACCAATGTTCAAGAAAAAAGGCAACCTGTTAAATCTTTCACTTGCCAAACTTCTGATTTTACACTGACTGTGTTCATCCCATGTAACTATAGAATTACTAGCTTCTAATAGTGAGTTTTTGTCACAAAAATGTGTGACAAAAAAAATAAAGTAAATGCAGGTATTTCTAAGTAATTGGAATATATATATAGCGTATAATACATTACAGAACTTTCTACTGGAATTTGTCATAGAGATCCATGCACAAATAGTGAAGTGGCAGTAGTAGGAATTAGCTGCTAGGTAAATAAAAATCTGTGTCTCTTGCTCTCTTTCTATTTGACTGATTTTTGGGGGGGTGGGGGAGGGGAATCATTAGGATTAGGAGGAATTTTCTAATGGGTATTCACTAAGAAATTATTGGTCTTCAAGTTTATTTAAATCAG